GAAGTAGACACGTTCAAAGAACTCGGAACGAGGTTGCTACCGAATAGACAGAGTAAGGATGACATTGTCTCCCAAATTGACGCAGCACGGCGAGTTTTCTCCAGCCTTCGGAAATGCTTATGGATCCGACGCGATATCTAAACAAAGATCCGCGTGTACCATGCATCTGTGCTGTCTGTTCTTCTATACGGATGCGAATTTTGGGCTATGTGCATGGAAGATGAACAGAAATTGGAAGTATTTGACCACCACTGTCTGAGGAACATCCTTCGACTGAAGTACACCGACTTAGTATTCAATAAGACAGTTCGCACTTGCTGCGACAAAATCACAAGGAAAGCCCAGGTCATTCAGGAAAGATGGCTTAGGTGGGTTGGACACGTTCGTCGTCAACCTCAGAAGCTCAGTGCTACTGCCCTCGACTTAAAACTGTTGCCTAATTGGAAACGTCGAAGAGGGGGTCAACTCAAAACCTGGCTCGACTCAGTCCGTCAGGACATAGAAGGGGTTCTTGGACCTTCGGTATTCGGACTCCGGCGCTGACGCTGGCGAAGAGAATGGGTCGAACTGTCCAGCTCTGTGGCCACGGATCGTCGCGCGTGGAGAAGCAGCGTACGGGACATAATTGAGGCCGGCTAGATTAGTCATGATCGTATCCGTAACAAGTACAACTGTAGACCTCAGATTGTGGAATTTCGCATTGTGCAACTTGAGATCTTTTTTTATCTGGTTTTCTCCCCTGGCACTTATACTCATTCCCCCTCTCTTCTTTTCAGAAAAAATATTGCTGAGCTTGAGGAGGCCAATTCAAACCTAAAGGAATCCCTGGAACGTTTGGAACTGGAGAACGAGGGTATGCGAGCTCGGGTAAGTATGCAGCGTTCGTCTCCCCCCTTAGTTCCCTTGCCATCATTGTGATTGATTGTGAACCAACTGTGTGTGTATATGCGACGGTCATAATGCGCGCCAATTATAACGATGACCGCCTGTCTACTTCAGCTCCCATGCATAACCGAGGACAACAATAGCGGTTCAAAATAGCCGGTAAACACCTCAATTAAGGTTTTCTAGTCGCCGTGTTACCGCTTTTGTCGACTGTAGACCTCAGTTTCGAGACAAATGCAAGTGTTCATACAGTCAACGCTCTGAGGTACAAGGCCCCACTGGGAGCCGCGAGCTTAAACACTGTTGTGTCAAGTGACCCATTAACTCCATCAATTCTCATACAGCATGCTGACGGTCCAAGGAGGATTTCCTAAGCAAGCACTCCAGAATCCACCAGATGACTGCCCGACGGCGCACTTTGACAGCTTCAACCATTTCCGAATTGTTTGCTTCCAGTATGCTGGGCACGTAAATCGACCCACTCACGGCTTCCGGTAGGGCCTCGTGGCTGAGGTTGCTTACGGCTGCACCGAAGCCCTCTCTCCCC